TAATGTCCCGCCGGCTCAAGCCCCCACAGCTGCTGCGACGTGGCCTCAGGAGGCAACTGCAGGGTCTGGGGGGCACAGAGGGGGATTGGGGTTCCAGGGGTGTATTGGAGGCCCCCAGGGGGGTTACTGAGGTGCCCAAAGGGTTATTGGTGTCCCCCGGGGGGTGTAATGGGGTTCCCCAGGGTATTGGGGTGCCCAAAGGGGGGTAAATGGGAACTCCTGAGCTGTTATTGGGGTCCCCAGGGGGAGATCATCAGGAGTGTTACTGGGATCCTGTAGGCATTATTTGGGTCCTCAGGGGGGTATTGGTGTTCCATGAGGGTTTTTTGGGTCCCTCAGGGAGGCATTGGGGTCTCCATGGAGTTATTGGGGTCCTCCAAGGGGATACTGGGGTCTCCTGAGGTCATGTTGGGGTCCCCCAAGGGGGGGCCACAGCGGTTTCCCACAGGGTTATTGGGGCTCAGGGGGACCAGTACCTGCTGGGCCCCCCCGGGGAGTTCCTGGGGATTTTTGGGGTGCCCCTAAGGAGTATCCTGGGGATTTTGGGGTGGGGGGGCCTGTTACCTGGTGGGGTCCCCCTGGGAGGTCCCTGAGGGGTGTTGGGGTGCTTGGGGGCATCCATTACCTGCTGGGGCCCCCCAGGGGGGCCGTACACCAGCTCGTAGCCATCGGGGGGGATGAGGGGGGGGTCCCAGTGCAGTTGGGCACTGCGAGGCCACACGGAGCCCACCCAGAGGGTCCCCGGGGCACCTGTGGGGGGGGAACTGCTGACACCTCAAAACCTTCATGGCCCCAGGGCCCCACCCACACACTGCACTCCAGTAGAGAGGCCCCAGTGCCCCTCAGTTTCCCTCAGGCCCTAGTTCCCCCAGTTCCCTCAAGTCCCCTCTTCCCTTCAGTTTCCCACACCCCTCAGTTGTCCCAAGTATCCACATCTTCTCCCAGTCTCTCCCAGTGCTGCATTCCCCTTAATCTCCAGTCCCCCCCAGTCCCTGGTTTCCCCCAGTTCCCCTCAGTCCCCACAAGTCTCCTTTTTGCTCCAGGTTCCCCCAGTACTCCAGTTCTCCCAGTCCCCCCCAGCCCTCTGGTTCCCCCCAGCCCCCAAATCCCCCCAGTTTCTCCCAGTCCCCCAATTCTCCCCAGTGCTCAGTTTCGCCCAGTCTCCCCAGTCTCCAGCTCCATTCTAGTCCCCAATTCCCCCAGCCTGTTTGCCCCAGCTCCCCCCCGTACCCAGTTTTCCCAGTTCCCCCTAGTCCCCAGTTCCCACCAGTTCCCCCACTCCTCAGTTCACACCAGTTCTCCACAGCTCCCAGTCTTTCCCAGGCACCGGTTCCTCCCCCACTCCCCCTGAATCCCCAGTTCCCCCAAGTCCCCCAATTCCCATCAGTTTCCCCCAGGCCCCAGTTCTACCCAGTTCCCCCTAGCCCCCCAGGGCCCAGAACCCCCAGTTCCTTCCAGCTGTCCCCAGTTTCCCCCAGTCCCCCTGGTGCCCAGATTCCCCAAATTCCTTCCAGTGGTCCCCAGTTTGCCCCAATCCTCAATTGCCCCCAGTCCCTCCAAGTGCTGTGCTCCCCTCAATCTCCAGTATTCTCCAGTCCCTGGTTGCCCCCGGTTGCCCCCAGTTGCCCCCAGTTCCCCCTACATCACCCTGTTGCCAGTCCTCCCCAGTGCCCTGGGTCCTCCCAGTTGCCCTCAGTTCTCTGGTTCCCTCCAGTACAGCCCAGCCCCCCAGGTCCTCCAGGCTGCCCCTGGGCTCCACTCCAGCCCTGCTCCCTAAGAGGCCCTGGGAGGGACCTGCAGCCCCTCACCTGTGGCGATGTCAGTGGAGACACCATCGATCCTCTTCCCGCCCCGCAGGCCGTAGAGGTGGAAGCGGTACTGGTGGGATGGGGACAACCCCGGCACCGTCACCGAGCGGGACCCGCCATCGATGGGCAGGGCCTGGGGCTGGCCCTGGGCATCCCGGTACTGCAGCGTGAAGGAGTCAAAGGGGCCCTCGGGGACGCTCCACTGCAGCCCCACGGAGCTGGGGGTGACGCTGGAGACCCTCAGCTCCCCCAGCACTGCCCGTGCCGTGGGGGCCTCAGATGGGGGAGGCTCAGTTTGAGGGTGGTCAGGTCGGGGCTCCTCTGAGGGTGGGAGCAGCTCCTCTGGCTCAGCTGTGGCTGTGACAGAGGAGATGCTGATAGAGGTGGCCATTTGCATGTCCATGCCATGTCCATCCCACCATCCATCCAATCATGTTTCTTTCCACACACTCTTTCCTTCAACTGGTTATTTAATATCTCCTTCCATTGGATTATCAAACCACCCAGCCACTGATCTGATCCGTCAAACCACCATCAAGCTGCCCCAACACACATCATCCGTCCATCATCCGTCTTCATGCATCCAGCATCCATTATTTTCCTTCTGTCAGTCATTGAATCCATTGCTCCATTCCCCCCACACTGACCCCATCCCTCACCCAGGGTACAAACCAACCATGGGCTCAGTCTCACATGTGCCTGTCCAACCACGTGACCATCTGTCATCCATCCATCCAAAACACCCAGGAGACCCCCATCCATCCATTCATCTATCACCCATCACCATCCATACCTCATCCATCATCCGTCCCTCCATCAGTCCATCCATCCATCCCATCACCCATCCAACACCCAAGCCAACTCCCCACCCAGTCCCACATCCATCTCTACGGCTCTTTCTCCACAAATCCCCGCAGGCCTCCACCTCTACCATCCCCCATTTTCCATAGAAAATTTTCCATCCAAGAGGACATGCATCAGGCCACCAGGAACCCTCCGTCCATCCCAGCTGCCCCACATCCATCCAACCACTCATCCATCCATCCACCTTCTTCCATCCATCTGGGCAGGAACCCACCCACCATCCAGTCTGGAATCCATTCAGCTGCTCCATTTTTGATTCATCATAGATGGATGATGATGATGATGATAATGATGGATGGATGATGATGATGATG